CCTTCCCTCCCTTCCTCCCTCAGCTCCCTTCCACTCTTTAAAAATCAGTGGAAAAATATTCATAGGTGAGGATTAGCAAAATATAAAAATATGTGACATTTTGGGAAGGGATTGGAGAAGTTTTTAAAAATAGTGAAGTACACAGAAGAAACGAATCCATCCTTATCTTCATCTTGCATATTTAATGGCTTTATTTTTAATATTAAAAACCATTACAGCCGAAACCGGTTTGGCTCAATGGACAAAGCGTCGGCGTGCGGACTGAAAGGTCCCAGGTTCGATTCAGGTCAGGGGCATGTACCTTGATTGCGGGCACATCCCCAGTAGGGGGTGTGCAAGAGGCAGCTGATCGATGATTCTCTCTCATCAATGTTTCTGACTCTATCCCTCTTTCTTCCTCTCTATAAAAAATCAATAAAATATATTAAAAAACAAACAAAAAAACCCATTACAAAACTTATGCAATCTCATTATACGGAATTCAAACAACATAGAAAGTACATTATGTACTATAGAGCTCTCCCAAATCTTACCATCTAAAAATTATTACTATTAATTAATATTAGAAAAATATTATTATAGACATTTTCCTTTGCCTTTATACAGAGAGGAGAATGCAAAGGTAAAAAATGATACCTCAATAGAGTTTTTGTGTTTATTTCTCTTATTAGGAGGGATGTAAATGACACCAACAACAAATGGGTCCAGGCTGCCTGTCACTACTTGAGCCAATTAAACAGAGACAGGGTTGAATTATGTATGAGCATTTGTTCCAATAATGCCAGCAGCACAGGAGAGAAGCAGGTCATCCAGGAAAGTCTGCTCTGCCATAAACCAGCTGTTATATTGGATAGAAGGACAAAGATTACATGGGGAAGTATGCAAAAGGAATAAAAATGGGTATAATGGTTAGATTACAGGCAATGTGGGTATGGGGGGTGAAGGGAGTCCATTGTTTGGGCAACAAGGTTGTTAATCTTTCCAACATAATGGACCACATTCCAAGGTTGACTCCCCCGGGTATGTGTGTGTTGGGGGGCACGGGGCCGGGGCATGGTACAACTCCCAGCCAGGTTAGAATGTGCTTTCTTTAATTAGAACAAAACAATCATGGTTAACAGAGCATGATTAACATTTTTTCTAACTAATAGCTAGTCCCTAATAGTCTATATTTACCATAACAAAACCTCTGATTCAGTCATCCTGGGCATCCTCTATCAATGTCATTGAAGTTTTATGAAGATAAATTAGAAAACAGGTGTATTTTCCAAAGTGTTTTTTGCTGTAACAATGGCATACAACATAAGGTATTGCTAATGCTGTGTGTATTGCACCCTTACTCTTTGCATCAGTTTAAAAGCACTTTAGGAAAAGGAATGGAATGAAACACCCAGGGAAAGATTAGTTGTGCTGCTTACAACCTAACAACAGGGCCCTCTGCCCAATCCATTCACCATCACTTAGCCTAGGCGTTAAGCAGGATAATTCTCTTTAGCAAACATAGCCCTTCTGGAATTCATGAGAGTGTTCAGGGAGCTCTGATGGAGACAAAAACTAGTTCCTAACAACAAGAAAAGATTATGGGGTAAGCCCTTCTTTACACATTTGTTTTTTTAATAGTCGCTCCACCTCCTCTGCTTTATCCTTATTATTCTATGGGTATCCTGGCTTCTCATTCTTACAGGCATTAACCGAGCACATGACTCACCAACCATTCCTGAGATTATAGGTTGTGCACACCTCTCTTCCTGCGAGGAGATCCCTGGTCAGGATAACTTGGTCATCATCCCAAAGCCATGGCTCTGATAGAAAAAACCCCCACACAGGAGCCTGGAGGCAAGGGGGGCCTTGGATTTCCTGACACTTGCCTCTGCCCAGGGAGTACTGACTTGGGCTTTTGCTCCCATGGTGAGAGCTCTGAGCAATCAGGTAATTGGTCAGGCTTACACGGCAATATAATTCTTAACGACCATTTTATCTGCTTTCCGGCATAGAACAAAGACCAGGAGGAATCAAACCACATCAGAACTAAAACTGCCAAGAAGCACCCAATTGCACATCCACATTCCTGTTGACCCAAGCCCACTGCCCAAGCCCACCACCCAAGCCCCCAAATCCCACTGACGACCAGAGGCTGCATATAAGGACCAGACTCCAGCTCCTAGGGGCTGCCATCGCTGACCTTTGACTCGGTGCTATGCAGCCCTTCCCTTTGGACACCCCCATCCCCTTTTCTTTAAATAAATTCAATTTTTCTTTATCCACCGTCTAGGATTGCTATTTAACCTGCCTGCGCACCACCACCTTGAACCTTTCATTAAGTATGATTTTTGCTCCCAGAGAGGCCACAAATAACTGGAATCAGTGATAGGGAGAATAAGAAGGAAAACTCAGAAACTCTTCACTCATGCAACAGGAGAAAGGGCAGGCAGGACCGTAATTCATATTCTGGAGCCACCATGTAGTCAGTTAATCTGGAACCCAGTACAGAACCAGGTCTGAGGAGAGTGGAGGAGCCAACAGTTTTAGAGAAGACGAGCTTCATGCCTTTTTAGTTATCTATCCCACACTGGAGCTACCTACATGTTCTAGCAGATTGCCCTGTGACATATTGTGTGTGTGTGCATGCATGTGTGCATATGTGTGTGCATGCACCATGTCCAACCCCAGTGCACAGCAGCTTTGACCAGTAGAGCAGCTTGACAATGCTCACCTCGAGACTGCCTTGTGTTACCTCTTGCTTGCTTCCCAGGGGACAGAACCTGCTTGGGACTTATGCATGTGCAACTTGGACCTGTGGGGAGCTGATGTGTAGGGGGCTGCTTTCAATGAATGGATGGGGACGAGACCAATATATAAACGCTTCCCCTTTTTATCTATGTGCAGACAGTTTTGAGACAGATTTCAGAAGGCTCCTCAGATATTCTGGATGGATGGAGCGGTGCCCTTGGTGCGGGCCAACCTCTCGCTCCTTCCCTGTCTCCTGTGCCCGTCCTTTACTCCTGCTTTCTGGAATCTTGTCCCCAAATAAACCATCTGGCTGCACAGGATCACGGGCCTCAGGCTGTGCTTTTATTATTGTTTTTTAAATATGTTTTCATTGATTTCAGAGAAGGAATAGGGAGTGATAAGAAACATCAATAATGAGAATCATCGATCGGCTGCCTCCTGCATGCCCCACAAAGGGGGATTGAGCCCGCAACCCATGCATATGCTCTGACCAGGAATTGAAACTGTGACCTTCTGGTTCATAGATTGCTGCTTACCCACTGAGCCACCCTGCTTTTCGGGGAAGCCAGGCTAAGACACCTGCGTAAGAAGGCTGGCTCAGTGCATTGTCAGCAGAGGGAAGGTTTCTAGCATACAGGGATTAAGTCTTAGCCCTAGAAGCTCACTACAAACCACTGCGAGAATTAGGCCAAGGTGACACAGAAATGTCAGGTGATGGTATGGCATGGCTTACCAAATTGTGGGAAATAGATTGTGGAGATTATTTAAAAAATCATTTTATTTATTAAAACATCTTCATTTTTCCAAGGCACATCAGCAGCTTTCCCAAAAGTGTATTTTAACCAGGTGAAGCATACGCTGCAGGAATACCACGGTAACAATCAGAAGAGAGGACAATTACAAGGAACACAAAATCTCTCCCAATGTCACATGACTCAAGTGAGCAACCCTGAAAGACTATCAACATGCCTGAACCTTCTTCTTTGTAATTTCCCCCATGATTTGGCATCACAAAAGGAACCCACACAATGACATCCGCTTTAGAGTCAGGAGTGCTAGTGGGAAGGCCTTGCACAGTGGCAACTGTAGACTTTTGTCAGAGTGATTCTGGGTTGGAAAAAAAAAAAAAACGACACAAAGTGACTAAGGAACCAGTCTTTCCTAAGTCTATTCTGAAGATCAAGTACCCTAAAGAGAAAAAGACATCACACACAAACAAAATCCATATTACAGTTTTAAGAGAAGAGACAAGTTTGCTCACCTTTCTTTCTCACTGATACACCTCCTGCAAACCATACATGGACATCATAATAGGAGGTTTGATTCACGTGGTTCATATGGCATGAAAACAATAGTAGGTTCAAGGATGCATTTGTTATGGGCCTGGATCAGCCCAGTGCTTTGATCAGATGTAAACAAGTCTACCCACTTCAGTGGTCCAAGAGCTCAGGGTCCACGCACTTGCCTGTGTTCCTTACCTCTGTGTCCCCTCATGTTAATTACTTGTAGGTTTCCCCACACCCAAGCTCTCCTGTCCTCAGGCAGCAATCATCCCAGTTAATAACCTTTGTAACTGAGAAAGTGTGAGAAATCAAATTCCCTATAAAATAATTTCTTTCTGTTAATTCTCCCCTGAGATATTTTTTCCATTTATTTTTAGAGAGTGAAAGGGAGAGGAGAGGGAGAAACATCGACGTGAGAGAGACACATGGACTGGTTGCCTCCCTCAAATAACCCGACAAGGGCTGGGGATTGAATCTGCAGCCCAGGTACGTGCTCTTGAGCAGGAATGGAACCCAGGACACTTCGGTACGTGGGCTGATGCTCTAACCATTGAACACACCAGCCAGGCTGAAATGATCTTTTTCTCTAAAGTGCACCATTAGAGGGAATCGGAGAAAATATTTAGGGGGTGGGATTTAGACCTCCAGTTTTATTAGGGGGCCTTTTCAAGAAGTCTTAAATTAAAATGTAAATTTAGCAGATGCCGCTCATATTCTTCCAAATCCCAATGGTTTTAGTTCACTTCTTGGGAAGTGCCCCATCCATCATATGTCAGGACTTCTCTGAAGTTGTCTGTCAGCAGCCACGGTGTCGCTTGGAGGCAAGGTGGCGCCGTAGGACCACATACAACCTCTTAGTCCAGGTGCCCATCCGCCACAAAGGGTCAACAGAATGAACAGCAAAGACCCTGCCGCTGACGGACGCAGCGTCTACACATTCTGACAAGACCAGTGCTTCCTCTTCACTTTCTCACTCATGGGAGGATGTTAGAAGACCGTGCTTTTAAAGACTGTAGGGCTTTCTTCATCATCTTTTAACATCCTTGGAGTTTGCCTGTATTTTATTCTACCAACACAAGCAAAACAAATGTTAGTAACAAATCTTAAAAAGATGTCCACCAGTCTTAGAACAAATAAACAAACCAAACCTAGAACTGAGGCTATCTCGCCAGAGGGGGAAAAAAGAAACCATACAGCAGATTCTGCCAGGTTTCTCCTAGTCTTTGCACTATCCCAGAGCTGCTGTTGCTGGGGAGATGGACATGGGGACATGGTGATCTGGGTCAGGCCAGAGAGGATGGAATGTAATCTCCTTGCCATTTCTAACCCTCTAACCAGTCCATGGCACTGGCAGGGACTCTCTGCCAGGCCCAGACCCAGGGTGCCAACACGGTGAAGAAGGACTCCTTACCCTTTGACTCTGAGCATCTGGTCAATGGTGTCCGGGAGGGGGATGCCGAAGCTCTCTGGGAGGAACAAGGTGAGGATGGCTGTCAGGATGGTCAGACTTCCCATGAGAATGTAGGGCAGGAAGCGGTCGTAGGCACCTAGGGCAAAGCAGAGAGCCCCAAGCCAGGGTGCAGTTAGACTTGGTCCCCTCTATCTGGGGGCTCTCGGGACTCTCCAATGGGGATCACTGCCCTCTCAGCCTTAGTCTGAGCTGCCAGGATGAGGTCTGGCACCTAGACAGGTCTCATGCCCAGAGCTGGCACCGGCATGCCCAGAGGTCCAGGAGTGCCTCATGGTGCAGGGAAGGGGAGGGGAGCCATGATGACTATGATTCCTATTTCCCAATGCTGGGTTTCTAAAGAATGCAAGATTCTCGTCCAGGGTCACAAATAGCTCCTCCACCTCTCCAGATGTGTTGTAACCCATTCAATTTGCCTACAGGCCAAGCAACATGTTTCTGCTTGTCAAATCTATGGAGCATGTTCACCAAGCATTCTGGGTACTCTCAAGGTGGGTACAGCCCTCCCCAAAGATGTGCCAGCAGGGATGCTCAGGGGAAAGCAGCTGCCAAGAGAAATTATTTTGAGGAAGAGAAAAATAGTGCCCTGCTACAGAAAAGGGCGGGGGCACGCCCTCTCACAGAGTTAAACCACTGTGTCACATGCTCCGAGCCGCACACATTCTCAGCTCATCTGCCCTCTTGAATGGCATCTTTCCCTCTCACTGTTCCTTTTAAATTCTGATTCCAAGAAGAGATTCTCCAATTAACAATACTGGTTCCCTAAGCCACTCTGTAGTTTCTTAGGATAGGGGGATTCTGTTTGCTAAAACAGGAACAAAATTCCCTACTTTTCTGACCAATTTCAGGCTCAGCTACAAGCCAGTGCCTCTCCACAGCACACGCACCTGGACAAGAACTTCTCCAGGCACAGATCCAAGATTAGATGGATCCCATTTGCTGTGTGTTTTCCCTTAGCAAGCCTCCTTCAGCTCGCATTCCAGCTCACCAGTGCTTCCTTCCGCCCCATCGCTCCCCCGTGCCCTCGGCCCACGGGACTTACCAAGGTAAATAAAGTAGGGAGATAGGATGCTGCCCAAGCGGGATGCCATGGAGCTGATTCCCACGCCCATATTTCTGACCACGGTGGGATACAGCTCAGCTGTGTACACGTAGACCATGGAAAAGGCAGCAGTGACTCCAAACTTGCCCACCATCACCAGGATGGTGGACAAATAATACAGGTCTGGAGAAACAACGAGAAGAAGGTAGGAAAAGGCGCCGACCCAAGGTACACTGCTGTTGAGAGTTCCAGGTTTTGTTGTTTTTTGTTTTTGTCTGAAATAAACATACTTTCTCCTTTTTTTTTTGTGGGGCTGGCAGTTTCTATAGCTTCCTCTTGTGGGATAAGGGGCTACAGCCAAGATATCCCTCCAAATTGTTCCTACTGAGAGGATGAATGGGTTACCCCAGCACAACATTTGCTGTGAAAGAGAGGCTAAGGGATGGCCCTAGCTATAGCAACCAGGCAGCCTCAATTACCTGCCTCATTAGCCTTTTATTGCAGTTTTTATCTTTAGATACAAGCAGTCGGTGAGTAATCTTGGGAGGACACGTGTTTGCACTGTCCTCTAGGCAAGGGCACCAGGGACGAAGCATAAGGATTCCAGCAAACACCCGGAGGTCTGCACATGCATAGAGTTGTTTGGAAAGGTTAAGGAATAATTAGGGGCACCACCTTCGATACTCCCCTAAGTCAGAATTCCAAAAAATAGGCCAGGTGGCCTTCCACATACTTCCCTGTTCTTGGAATATCCTCCTTAAAAGCTTTCCAACCAAGTCTCATGCTTCCCCACAGAGAAAAACAAATGTGCACACACTAACTTGAGTCGAGAGTAAAACTAACCACCAGCCCCACCTGGCTGCTCTGCCCACTCCACACAAGCCCAGGCCATGAGGAGTGTCAGGCCTCAGGAGACACTTTCTCTTGATTTTCTGGCCGGGAATGCAGATGTGCAAGTGGACGGTGGCGGCATTATTTTATTCCCTTCATGAACTGGGGGAGACAGCCGGGTAGAGGCTGAGTGGCTTAGCGAAGACCCCGGATGCACACGCATACGCACACGCTCCCTACCTGGGGGCACCAGCTGCACGAAGAGGAGGACGCTGCCGCCCAGGAAGAGGGCGGTGGCCATGGAATAGCGGCGCGGCAGGTGCCGCAGCAGCAGCCAGGCCAGCACGTACGCGGGGACTTCCACCACAGCCGAGAGGAAGCAGTTCACATAGACGTCACCATGCAAGTTAGGGGTGTCCAGGGAGAGCCCGAAATAGCCCACCGCTATGGTCATCCTGCAACAGAGCGCAGAAGGAAGCTGGAGGAGCAGCATCCACCTGGGGCCGCCAACAGAGGACCTTCCAAGTGCAATGATGCAGGGAATTCACAACGACCCTTAGGGGCGGGCAGCAGATTGAACAGTCTCTGGCCCAGTGTATTTTCAGAGGATCCCAAGAAGCAAAACGACATACAATTGAGAGAGATTTACTTGATAAAACAACAACAACAGAACACATACACACACACACACACACACACACACACACACACAATGAAAAGACAAAGAAACACATCTCTAACCTGCCTGATGGCTTTAGAAACTCTAAGCTGAAGCTCTCACTAAGCCAACTTCCCATCTCTGAGCCTCCCCAAACCCAGCAACTACAGAGGAGCTGGGGAGTGAGAGGAAGTGGACAGTAAGTGGAATGGGAGAAGGCTGGAAGGATAAGATCATGGTGAAGCATTTGGAGAAAGAGCCAGAGCAGACCCCCTGCGGCAACCAGCCAGGAAGAGGCTGGTCAGAAGCAGCGAACCCAACACCACCTGCTCCAGAAGGAGAGGGAGCTCCGATGGCAGGGTCATGTTGGCTCTCATCTGCAGGCCGCACCCCCCACCCTGGCTCTGCCCACTCCACACTCCACAGTGCCCAGGGCATTCTCTCTGTCAGACTGGACCGTTATGGTTAGACTGGATTCATCTGCAGAGTGAAACCACCAGCTGGTACAATCAAGGAAAGGGGCGGGAGCAGGAGTTCCTGGGAAACCCAGAGCCAGAGGTGTGCCAGGGGAACAGCGGGGGTGACTGGCAAGTCTGCGGCACACACTGAATGCCGGCACTGTGTGAGGCTGATCCCGGGCGGGGCATTGCCCTGAGGGATCCTGGGCTATTTCTTGGAAATGGATGACTCATCATCTCTAAGGGAGCAAAATGGCTGGCTGCCCAAAGACTAGCTGCCTTTGTGGAGACTTGAGGTAAAGTCTGCCTTCCTCACCCACAGGATCAGGTGGTGGCCTCTAACCCCAAGCATCTATGGCTGAGCACATGCTCTCCGGCAAATCAACTCCCTTCCTGACACACTTGGTGAAATGCATTAGAAGGAACTGGCAAGGACATCGAGGCTGTGGCCCTCTTCCAGGACACTCTCTCAGCAACCCAGAAGGAGGGATCCTGCTTCCCCACAGACTCCCAGAAAGTACTCAGCAGCCTCTGTAACTGAAAGAACATGGCGTCTTCACTGAGAGCCTTCCTGAAGGCCTTATCTGTCTTCCTTTTTTTTTTTTAAAAAAGAAAATATATATATATTTTATTGATTTTTTTACAAAGAGGAAGAAGAGGGATAGAGAGTTAGAAACATCAATGAGCAATGAGAGAGAAACATCGATCAGCTGCCTCTTGCACACCCCCTACTGGAGTTGTGCCCGCAACCAAGGTACATGCCCTTGACCGGAATCGAACCTGGGACCTTTCAGTCTGCAGGCCGACGCTCTATCCACTGAGCCAAACCGGTTTCGGCCCTGTCTGTCTTCCTTAGCCACTGCCTGGAGCACAGGGGCAGGAACAACTAAACTAGGACCCAACGCGAGCAAGGATTTACCTCAGGACCTGGAGGGGTCCTCAAAGGTCCCATGTTTCTCCCCAAAACCCCCACAACAGTTTCCATTTCCTTTTCTGAGATTCCATTAAGAATCATGCCCTAGCCAGTTTGGCTCAGTGGATGGAGCGTTGACCCTTGGACTGAAGGGTCTCAGGTCCAGTTCTAGTCAAGGGCACATACCTTGGTTGCAGACTTAATCCCTGGCCCTGGCCCTGGTTGGAGCACGTGTGAGAGGCAATCATTTATGTCTCTCTCACATCGATGTTTCTCTCTCTCTCTTTCCCTCTCCCTTCCACTCTTCCCCCCCCCCCCAAAAAAAAAATATATATATATATCAATGGAGAAATATCTTTGGGTGAGGATTAACAAAATAATAAAATAAAATACCTTAAAAAAAGAAATATATAAAAAAAAAAAAAAAAAAAGAATTGTAACACGCTCATTTCTTTGATGGCAAGACACATCCCTTTTACTTTCTGATGACATGGCCTTTCTGTTTTTGACTAAACCACATTCGCCAACGAGAAGGGCATGCATGACAGCCACTGCAGAGGCGTCACGTGGAGGCCTCAGACGGTCTCACATACGCACCACAGAATGATGGACATGATGGTGACCATCCGGATGTTCCGGGTTCGGAGCAGATCCAGAATGCTGTGGGACTGCGGCTTCTGGGAGCTTAGGTCTTGTAGCTGCAGGAACGAAACGACAAGGAGATAGGAGGGAGAGCAGGCCGGAGACTCAGAGATGCAACAGCACGCCTGAAACCCTGGCATCTTCCTCTCTGAGTTGGGGAGGGCTTTGTTTTTCTTAAAAAGGAGAGTAAATGTAGTGACTGCATCTTGGGCAGCACAAGGCTTCCCCTGACCCTGCCAGCACCACTTAGCATCAGGAATGAGGAGGGAAAATAAGAGACCAGTCCCTGGGGGACGCAGCCACGGCAGGCCCAAGCCCACGGCCGCCCCTGCAGCACCACCCCGAGCAGTGGCCACATTCCAGGCCGGCCGGCCCCTGAGCGTTCCTTCCCGAGGCTGGATCCCTGCCCTCTGGGTCAGAGAGAAACTGGCTGTGTGGTTTATTGATCTGCTATTTTAAAAAGAATTAATGTTTTCAGTCTTCATACCATGCAGTCTCTGGTCCACTTCCAAAAACAAAAACATTTCAGATAGAAAAACAGGAAAATTGACCTCAGCTTCACCCAGAGGAACTTCCTATGAAATTCGGCATAGCCAAGGACATTAATAAACCACACGTCTAAACACACTGATGTTTCTTTCTTAAGCAAACCCAGCTTTGGAGCTTGTTTTCCCAGAGTGAGCAGTTCAACCAAAGGTCAACTTTAGACTTAATGGATCCCCTGAATAGCCTCATTTCCTCAAGGATGCCAGAGGGACTATGGGCTCACCCAAACTGACCCCTCGCTGAGAAGCCACCAAAGCGGCTTCTCTGCAAAGTCCTCTCTGCCACCCACTCCTGCCCTGCCTGTTGGCATCCCAGCCCTTTCCGACGGTGCTGGGCCACCGCTCGGCGGTGAGGCTGGCAGGGCTGGCCGGGCGCCAGCAGCGTCTCTGCTGCGTGTAGCTGGTCTCTTTCCGAACCCCCACTCGGCGTCTTTGAGGCCCGAGTGTCTCTAACACGCCTTCCACACACTTTGGCATGACTGCTGATGGCTGTTCTCACAGCTGGCCCCCTATCTTCCTGTCAGATCAGACACACATTCCAGAACTGTAGCAGCCAGCAACGGCAACGTCTGGCCTCTTCTCACTGTCACGAGACTGAAGAGAACTGCCTGCTGCCGAGGGTGGACGCTCTGGGAGAATAGGAAGAAGCAAGACCCGGGAAGCAGGCAGGGCCAGGAGGTTACTCGTGGCATGAGAACAGGGTTTGCCGGGAGGTGCGAGAGGGTAAAGGGTTGGATACCAAAAAGGACCTGGCTCCAAGGTCATGCAACAAGTAACCCCAGGAGGAGACTGAACACTTCTACCTCCAAAACTGTGTTTGCTTCATAGTTTACATACTGTATTATTATTATTAATTATTATTATTATTATTATTTTACGATTGGAGACGACTTAGCCCCTCACTCACAGAGACTGCTTATGGTTAAAAGTAATGATAAGATTATATGATTGCCTAGAAAAGAAGTGTATAAAGTATGAAAACCTAAAATCCACAAGAAAAGTGAAGAGATTTAGGTAGTTAGCACCTTCTTCTCAGCTTCTGAAATTTTTTATTTTTATTGTTTCAGAGAGGAAGGGAGAGGGAGAGATAGAAACATCAATGATGAGAGAGAATCATTGATCAGCTCCCTCCTGCAGAACTCCACCTACTTGGGTCTATTAGTAAGCCCACAATCTGGGCATGGGCACTGACCAGGAATCAAACTGTGACTTCCTGGTTCGTAGGTCGACACTCAACCACTGAGCCACACTGACTCGGCTGAGCTTCTGGCCTTTGTAATGCTGCCCTCAAACCATGGCACGGAGACCCTCCCACCAGCTCCCATTCAGGCCTTACCTCGCTTGGTTCAAAGATGGCTGAGGGTGCAACAATCCCGTTGATTTTGGCAGCCTTATGGATGATAACCTCTGCCTCTTTAAATCGTCCCTGAGAGATGAGCCATCGGGGGGACTCGGGGATGAACCTGAAGTACAAGAAGCAACCTCACTGAGGCATTCCTGCTTAACAGGCCAGATGTAAAATGGGGTCCAGGTGGGAAATGGGGCCTCAGAACCAGAGCTAGGTTTGGGGAATATTTGGTGTTTCTGCGTCAGAAGCAAAGAGATGATCCATGCCACACCCAATAAGAACCTGGAGTGTGAGCTTTTGAGTACACTAGAGTGCACAAAATTTGGAGGGGCCTGCTCACCATGACGGGGTGCCTCCACTGGCTGGCCACCTCCATTTCTGAGGGGCAGTGGTGCCACCTGCTGGACATTCAGGAGACCAGGCAAGTTGGGCTCCTGAAAAGCCTGGCTAGTGAGCTCGGCTCAGCCCAGCTCCTTGCCCACCTGAACGCCTCTGCCTGTTCCTGGCTTCCACAGAAGTTTCTACACTGGCCTCTTAGCTTCTAGTTTTTCCTCATCTCCACCGGATTCACCCTACTCACGTGTCAGACTTTCTACCTACACTTACTAAGGCATCTGGGTGCTCTGAGAGTATAAGGATCTTACTTTCTACCTCACCAGGTAGCCCCAGTCCTCGGGTCAGGACCAGGACCCATGCTGAGCTCTGTATCCCTTCCCAAATGCCCTGGAATGTTCGCAGCATGTGGGGCAGTGCTCTCAACATCCCCACCTGCAAAGGGCGATTCCCGCCACCAGCAAAAACCCATGAAGATATTCACAGCACAACTTCTTGAGGTGTTACCAGCAGGTTTAGGGAGATTTGGTGGTGAGCTGACCCACATGCTCTCCTTTGTGTGTGGCCTGAGAGAGGCTTTTTGCCATACTGATGTATCAACACGAAAGGGCTGTGAGGTCAAGAATTGAAGTTTTCAAAAGGGAGACATTTCTGCCCCTTCCCGCACAGCCAACAACTTGGCTGAGAACAAAATGTGACTGTAATTTACACTTCCTGTCTCTGGGAGCCCAAATAGGGATTTGTGGGTTGCTGCTGCCCCCTAGTGAAGGCCAGGTGGAAGACGGCAGATAGCCGGTTGGTGTTTACCCACCCCCCCTCGGGGCATACTCACCACCAGAGCACTGCGCACAGCAGGCCTGGCAGCGTCAGCGCCAGCAGCAGTGTCCGCCAGTCTCTGATAAAGTAACCAAACAGTGGCAGCAGCATGTAGCCAATTGCATAAAATATGCACACTCCTAACGTGGAGAATATAATTCGAATGGATTTGCCAAGAATTTCTGTTCCTGATCAAAACAAGGGAGGAGTCATGTTAGCATTTTAATTTAGGTTCTTTCCCTATTCATCTTCTCTTGTCAACATGAAGGCAAGAAAGCCGCCAGAATAATTTCTAGGCCCTCCTGAGGATTGGGATTCTGATCTTGGCCCTGTCTGACTATCTGCAGGCGTCCCTCTCCGTGACAGTTCTCTCATGAAAATTTCACCACTTCCTGAAGCCAAATGTTAAAGATGCCACATTAGGCCTCAAAATGTAACCCTCACAGGAGGAAGAATTCATTAAAGGGGAAGTCTGCACAGCCTGACTATTATCCTTTAAATGTGAAAAAAATATTCCTTTAAATGTGAAAAGAAATAATCCTTTCAACAGTACAACCGAAAGACCTATATGCTGAGTTAGATTCCTCCAAACAGTGAGACTGGTAACTTTTCAGTGAGAAAGGCAAAAGTCCTGCAGTGTGAACTCTTAATTAAAATCCAAGGGTCACATGACGAAAGCCTGATCTATCAATTCATTCTTGCCAGCCAACTTCACTGGCCAGAGTTTTGCATGAGGCCATTTCTTCCTTGGCCCTTGTTCCTCATGTCATGCTTCCCTCTTTGCTTAGCTACCTCAGCCCTGGGCAGTGGCAGGCCCTTTTTGCTGAATGGAGGATCTTGGGTTGGTTGTAGTAAAATGGCCATCGAGTCCTAATAAGATCCAGGAGCCACACTTCAGAGGCCGGAAGAGAACTGGCATAAAGCAGTTAGGCTACGTGCTGCTGGGGACCCAAGGCTGGGCACTTGGTGGACTCAGATTCTCTGCCTACAGACTGGGTTCTCCAAGAGGCCCTGGTTGCTGTTGCCAGAGACCACTTCCCCTTGAGGGACATCACAGATGTCTCCAGAGAGTGGGTGGTGAGATGATGGTGAAACACAGGATCAAGTACTCAACTCCAATATGATGGCCATACCCAGGACAAACGCTGCCACGTAGTTGGAGATCTGGCCCATGCCTACAAGGACAAACAGCACGGCAAACATCTCAAAGTTCTTGGAGAAGATCTGCAGGAAGCTGAAGCCGGTCTGCATGGCCATGGTTACAAACAGCACATTCTTCCGACCAAACCTGGGAAAGAAAGCGGAGTGACAGAACCAGCGGGGAGAAGGCGGTAGGAAAGGGTTTCACCAACAGGAGCTTTCTCCAGGACCATTGGGGACTGGTCGTGCACAGTACTGCTAGGGTACCAGTCTCCCAGTCCCTATGCTGTTATCCCCCCACCCTCCACAGGACCAATACGCAGCCTTGGCACCATGGTGGTCCCCAAAAAAGATGCTTATTTTTTTTTTAAATGCTGTTTTTGCCCTATAAGTTTTAGGAGCTTATAATTATTCTGGCGGCTTTCTTGCCCACTAGAGGCCTGGTGGATGAATTTGTGCACTAGTGGGATCCCTCAGCCTGGCTTGCGGGATCAGGCCGAAACTGGCTCTTTGACATCCCCTGAGGGATCCTGGATTGTGAAAGGGTGCAGGCCAGGCTGAGCGACCCCACTGGTACATGATTGGGGCTGGGGAGGGACCACAGGAGGGCTCCAGGGCATGTCTGGCTCTTTTTGCTCAGTCCTGATTGGCCGGACCCCAGCAGCAAGCTAACCTACCAGTCAGAGCATCTGCCCCTGGTGGTAGGTGTATGTCATAGCGACAGGTCAACTGTCTGTCCTCTGATGGTCAGGGCACATCATAGAAAGCGGTTGAGCAGCCTTAGCATATTATGCTTTGATTGGATGAATGGATGACTAGGATAGGTTGTGAAATAGGCAGTGATCACTTTTTTAAAAAAATCCTCACCCTAGGATATTTTTAAATTGATTTTTAGAGAGAAAGGAAGGGAGAGAAAGAGAAACACTGATGTGAGAGAGAAACATCAATCGATTGCCTCTTATACGTGTCCCAACCTGGGATAGAACCCACAAACCTAGGTACGTACCCTGACTGGAATTGAACCTGCAATCTTTTTGGTCCACAGGATAATGCTCAACCAACTGAGCTACCCAACTTGGCAGTGATCACATTTTAGTCAAATAACCACATTACTAAGATAGGTGCACTGAAGGATCAGCACTCAGGTCCCCCAGGTACAACAAAGGAACCTACCCTGGACTGCGGGTCGGAGCTGGGCATGTAGGCATTCAGGGAAGGTCTGCCTGATGATGGGACACTGAGATAAGGCCCTAGAGAAAAGTACTTGTTGGCAAGGGGGAGTAAGGATAGGGAGCACGCTTTCAATGATATTCACAATACAGCGAAGAGATTATTAATTACATGAGAACACCTTTTATTTAACAATTTAAAAAAATATATTTTTATTGATTTCAGAGAGGAAGAGATAGGGAGAGAGACATAGAAACATCAATGATGAGAATCATTGATTGGCTGCCTCCTGCATGGCCCCTACTGGGATTGCAACCTGGGCATGTGCCCTGACTGGGATCAATCCTGGGACCTTTCAGCGGAAACCGATTGAAACCGGTTTGGCTCAGTGGTAGAGCATCGGTCTGTGGACTGAAAGGTCCCAGGTTTGATTCCGGTCAAGGGCATGTACCTTGGTTGCAGGCACATCTCCAGTAGGGGGTGTGCAAGAGGCAGCTGATCGATGATTCTCTCATTGATGTTTCCTTTTTTTTTAATATATATTTTATTGCTTTTTTTACAGAGAGGAAGGGAGAGAGATAGAGAGCCAAAAACATCGACCAGCTGCCTCCTGCACACCCCCCACCAGGGATGTGCCTGCAACCAAGGTACATGCCCTTGACCGGAATTGTACCCGGGACCTTTCAGTCCGCAGACCGATGCTCTACCACTGAGCTAAACCGGTTTCGGCTCTCATCGATGTTTTTAACTATCTTTCTCTCTTCCTCTCTGTAAAAAATCAATAAAATATATATATTAAAAAAAAAAAAAACAATCCTGGGACCTTTCAGTCTGAAGGCCAACGCTCTATCAACCGAGCCAAACCAGCTGGGGCTATTTAGCAATTTCTGACAGGTACTCTGAAGGCACAAGGCACAAGGAACCAGGGTAATGTAAACCAGGGACCCTGAGTTAGCTTGCAAGGTCAACCCGGAGGCAGGTTGGTTAAGAGGAGAACACACAACTGTGGCTGGAGTCACCTGCTCACCAGGAGCCTGCAGAGCGGGCCGGACCTACACTGCACAGGCCTTGCAGCCACAATGAAGAGCTGGTGCTTTCTACCCACTGCAATGGGGGTTGTTTTATTTATATAGCAGTAGACAGAGGCCGGACATGATCTAGACATCCCAAAAAGCCCAGGATAGCACCCCACAACAAAGAATTCTCTGGCTCAAAATGTCAATAGTGTGAAGGTGGGAAACCTGACAGTAGAAGGAGACTTGGTCTAGAAGGAGACTTTGTTTCCCTCACCCCCTTCCGGTCTCTTCTTGTACAGAGCACCCTACAGGCCGTCCAAGGGCAGCCCCTTACTGCAGGCAGAGCTGTAATCTCTATCCCTGCCCTCGCTGCCTTTCCCACCCAAGGGCTTCCTGGGATGATGGGAAAGAGAAAGATCCTGGGGACCCTGACATAGCACCCGCCCCTTGGCAGTCCAGGTTGGGCCCAGAAACACTCACTTTCAAAGTATGTCAACAAAAAAGTAAAATAAATAAAAAATATATGTCAACAAAACATCAAGCATATACATGCCTACAAAACTAGGAAATACTAGTCTACTTCTTCCCAGGGTTATACCTCTCATAATTCATGCACATAAAACTAACTCAATGTCAAATAAAAGGCTTTAACAATCCCAGACTTTTTTTTTTTTTAATATATTTTATTGATTTTTTTTTTACAGGGAGGAAGAGAGAGGGATAGAGAGTTAGAAACATCGATGAGCGAGAATCATCGATCGGCTGCCTCTTGCACACCCCCTACTGGGGATGTGCCCGCAACTAAGGTACATGCCCTTGATTGGAATCGAACCCGGGAACTTTCAGTCCGCAGGCCATCGCTCAATCCACTGAGCCAAACCGGTTTCGGCAAATCCCAGACTTTTTAAAGTTTAAATTCTTTATTGTTTAAAGTATTACTTATGACTCCTTCCCCCCCGCCCGGGGGCCCTCCTCAGTGACCTCTCCCCAGCCGCTCCCATCCTCCAATACATGCCCCCACCCCCTTACTGTCTGTGTCCATTGGTTATGCTTACATGCATGCATACAAGTCCTCTGGTTGATCTCTTACCTACCCTGCCTTCCCTCTGAGGTTTGACGGTCTGTTCGATGCTTCTATGTCTCTGACCCCAAGATTATTTGTATTGCTCTTGAATTTCAGCCTAACTTATTCATGAAGGTTAAACCTTTGTTCTACATAAAAAGTTATTACTGGTGTCCTAGACAAGTTGAGATAATGAATCTATTGCACTCAGGTAATTTGTGTGACTTAGGTTTTTAAATGGTTGACTTAGAGGTAAAGAGAAAGGAAACTGTCCCTGGGCCTTTGGGGGAGTAGGGGGGAGAGCACAGACAAGCTTGAGGGATGGTGCTGAGGGCTGACTGTAGGGGCTACAACCAGAACAGCCGTACTTCTGGCTGTTTCATTTACTGGACTCAAATGATCCTACTTAAAAGTCCGCTGACAATTTTTTTTTAAAGTTTTAAAAAACACTGTACTAGCACTTCTAAAGACTAACGTAGTCCTTAAGATATTCATGAGATTTATTTCTGTTTACTTGGATGATCCTTCGGAACTTAAACACTTTCCTCAGGTAATCAGGGTGTCACACGACCGTCAGGTTCTCAGGCTATCCCACAAAGACCTGCCTCACCCATAATGCAGTCGGTCTAGAAAAATGCACTGAGTTTCAACTCTGAACTTGGGATATCTTCTCCCTGTTTATATCCAAGTAATTACCCTGAGTCTCGGCTGCCACTCAACTCAAAGAGAGGGCATTTCCCAGTTGGAGAGCCTCTAAGCTCAGTCCCCTCTTCTCACTCTACATTCTAGCCAGGTAATCTCATCCATGTTTGGGGCTGTGATGAGGGTTCTATGAGCTAAGTGCTTCTTCAGTCCAAACCTCTCCTGGAGCACTATGTCCATATATCCAACTGCATAGAGAGATAGAAACTGATTAGCTGCCTCCTGCTCAGTGCCGGGGTCCCCTACCTCTGCAGGAGACAGACCAGACACCCACCTTACCTGTCTGAGAGCTGCCCCGAAATGAAGGAGCCTATCAGCACGCCCACGAAAAACAGGGAGACCGTGAGCGGGGCCTTCCAGTCGTCATCACACACCAGGTTCCACTGTAAGAGGAGCAAAGGGATGTATCACTCGCTTCTATTAAAAATGTTTTAAACGTAAACCTTCTTGGAAGATGAAATCAGAACACCCTGCATTCCCCAGCTCCGTTTACGTGACTCTGTGGGTGTGAGTCTGTTTAGGCAGCAATGATTGACCTGGGCCGAAAGGCAGGGAGCAGGCTCCCCTCACAGGAAGCCTGGGCTCCCTCCCCATCTGGTTTGTTCATAGCTTTCAGCACCATTGTTTTGCTTCTAATTTGAGGAAGGGAGCAGCAGGGAACAAGTACCCTGCCATGCTAATCCAAGAGAAGGCAAGGCCTCTCGTGGTCACTCTGAAGAATCTGAGCAGAGCCTGGGGCTGCGGACGGGCAGGGAACCCGCTCAGTGGGTCTGGGTCATTGGACGGATGGCACGGGCGTGGTTCTGAGCAGGGCTCTGGGGCTCCAAGGGCCAAGGCATCCGGCCAGGAACAGAGCCCAAGGGCCTGAAATGCACCACCTGGACCTGTTCCTTCAGCTCTGCTCCGGTCCCCACCTTGGGCCAGTGACTTCTAGGACCTTCTGGTGATATTGAGAGCGGGGATCCCTGATGCTGCATTAACACGAGGCCTGATTACAGCCAAGAGCTCTGAGCTGGATGTCAAGAAAGTGGGGTTTTGCCGAAACTTGTTTGGCTCAGTGGATAGAGAGTCGGCCTGCAGACTGAAAAGTCCCGGGTTCAATTCCAGTCAAGGACATGTACCTTGGTTGCGAGCACATCCCCAGGAAGGGAGGGGTGTAGAGGAGGCAGCTGATTGATGATTCTCTCTCATTGATGTTTCTGACTCTCTATCCCTCTCTCTTTTTCTCTGTAAAAAATAAATAAATAAATAAATAAATAAATAAATAAATAAATAAATAAATAAAAATCAATAAAATATATTTTAAAAAAAGAAAAGAAACTGGGGTTTAGCTTCTAGTCTACTGTTAACTGGTTATCCAACCTCAAACAAGATTTCCCTCCGCAGTGTCCCTTACTTTCAATTTCTGTAAAACAAGGGTTGGGGTGGGTAACAGACTACATGGTTTCCCAGCACCCAATATGTGGTTTTGCCCATGGTTACCATAAAGAGGCCTGCAGGCTTGGGGAAGCAGCTGGACACTCAGATGTGAGGTCGTTCCAGCCTAACAAGGAGCCAAAGGGAGGAAGAAAAGCCAAAGCAGGAAGCTTAGTGGTTCCCAGGAAAATGTTTCCCAGAACAGAGAGATGGCGCTCTGCAGTAACTAAGCAGGCCACCTGCCAGGGCATTCTTGCTTGCCTGACGCCAGGCTGCTGGCCTGCCCTCCATGGAGCCTGCAGGCTCCCCAGCAACACAGAGGAGCAGTGGGAATGTGTGGCTCCCAAGAACAAAGCATCTCTTCCAGGCTAAGTGACGCAGGGAGAACAAGCCTACTTCTCTGCCCTATTGGGCAGTGTGTGCACAGCCTCCGGGCCCCTTAGAGGGGTAGGAGGCAGCCCCCAGGCTGGACAAGAAAATCCCTGCAGCTGCTGATAAGGATGGCTCAGCCACACAGCTGGCTCTCCACTCTGGCACTTTGGATGGGCTGAGAATTGGGGGGGTGGGGGAGGGGTGGACCCCAGGGGAACATTGGGGGTCTCCAATTCCTGTATCTAGAGGAACTCCAGGCTAGCTCTCAGACAGGTAAGGTGGGTGTCAGGAGGTCAGAATCTCAAAACACTAAGGCTTGAATGCTTGGGTGATGGCAGCCTTCCTACATCTGCAGCCTCAGTGGTGCCAGTTCCCAGATACCCCCGTCCAGACATAGCTGCTAAAGCCAGGACAGGAGCAGCAGAGGAAGAGAGAGCTGAGGGACTCGGTGATGGGTGCTAGCCTCTGGGTATTAGGTAGGGTGTGAGGCAGAGCTTCAGGGGCCAGATGGTGGCTACTGCTGCTCTTGAATGTGATGGGATCTATTCCCAGCTAGCACACATTGCGTTTGTAGCAAAAGAGATGAAAAAAGAAAGACTCAGTAGCTGTTTCTCAACAGGTCTCTTGTGTGGGTTAGGGACTAATATAGCTGAGCTACACTAGGAATCCACGGGGGCTTCTGCAGTGAGTTCTGGGTGATAGTCCCCCCAACCCATGTCAGGTCTCCCAATATAGATAGGCTTTTAGAGAAATCTGGACTGGTAAGGAAACAAGGTGACTAATGCTCATGTTGGGATAGGTCCCCAGATCATAGCTCCAGCTCCCACAGCTGCCACTTGGTTCAACCTGTCCTTACTCAGGGCAAGTGTGTAATTCCCTGGAGTAGCTGGGCTCTCCATCCATCACTAACAATTCTTAACAATTCTCAGGGCCTGGCTTGGGCCTCCCAAAAGCAAACATGGGCTAACACTTCCTACTGGTCACATGGGCGGGGGGTTGGCACGGCTGTGTGTAGGGTCAGGACAGGTATAGGTCTCAAAAAATGAACACAGGGGCAAGCACGGTCTAGGTCCCACCTCGCCAACCTATCCACTCACCTGCCAACTGGCTTGGTCTGCAGTGGCCTTAGAGTTTGGCCTGAATCCTCCTTGGAAGGAAGGGTGGGTGACATGCACAGAGGAATCCAGAGTTTCCCACACTGAGCTCCTGGCTCCCCAGCCATGACTAAAGCAGCTCCAGACCAGCTCACTGATGCCTCCACTTGTGCACTGGATGGGCTGTACTGGCTGTTAATAACTGGTATCAACGCCAGGACGAAAGGCGTGGATTTAAGATTCAGATCCTGAATCTGGGATCGTAACCCCTCTGCTGGATGAGCTGTGAAAGAGGAGTGTCTGAGGGCCCAGCCTGAAAAAATCGGGGAGCGATCCTGGCATTGGGCCTAGACTTGCTATCCTTCCTGGCAAGAAATAAGCCTTTCATATCCACGGAAGGTTTCATATTGCACACTTGGCTGTGTACAGTTCGTGTCACTTATACCTCAATAGAGTTGTTAAAATTTTTAAGAGAGAGAAGTGTGTCTCTTGTATGTAGGATGTAACTGGTGCTGCTTCTTGGTTATAAGAAATGGATTCTAAATGTTCTTACCTAGAACTAACTGTTCTTGCCCGTGAGTTGGCTAGAAGGGAAAAGATACTGGGTCTGTGCCCATAAGGCAGAAGCTCTTCCCTGAGATGTATCTAGCCTGACTGCTTCAACGGTCAGACACACTGGTAAGACTCACTTGTTGCTGAATGCCATGTATTCCTATACACATTTAGTTCGGCTTCCTGCTGCAATGAATGACAAATCCTTGCCCCACGGCTGGCAAGGAGAAGTGTCTGTTATCATAACCACTATAATGCCTGGCAGTGCCCTGTACAGCTGAGGCTCAGTAGCCATTTGGTAGAGAGGTGAGTGAGTGAACAGATGAAAAAAAGGGCTGTGAATCTTCAACATCATAGTATCCTTTGGGCTTGGCTGCCCAAAGCTCAGATGAACCCCGAACTTTGATCTTTGGAGTAGATTTTCTTTGCTTCCTCAGCCCTTCCCTGAGTCAATTATCAGAACTTTGACCCAGAGTGTGGGTTCTCAGCCATCCAGAGAGGCACTCACTCTGCTCACTGAGGGCCACAGGGGTCTGCTATGACTGCATGCACACAGGGAGCCTCAGGGGACCCAGCAAGGGTCTTCTTTGGCTTTTCAGAGCTACAAACGCAGGGATAAGGGTCTGTGCTCCCCTTGAGTCAGCAAGGGCATAGTGGTGAGGTGCAAGCTCCAGGTCTGTCCCGACTCGCCACCCAGTCAGCCCAGCCCCACATCCCCGGGTGATGTGGCCTTTCCTTCAGGTGATGTGGCTCATGGATAACAGTGGGGACTCTCCTATCTTACAAGACTATCTGTGTATGACATACAGCTGACAGAAAAGCTAGTCCAGAGAAAGAAGCTTTCTGGGACAACAGGGAGAAAGTCACAGTGCTGCCAAGGGCTGGGGCAGGGGGCTTCTGGGAAGCAGAGACAGGCAGAAGGCAAGGGGACAAAGAGGACTGCCAGGCTTTGGCTGAACAGACTTCAACTCATGGGTGCAAGAGCTACAAGTTTCTAAAGGAACTTTTCTGGCTGCAGGCTGGGCTATGGAGCTACCAAAATGCAGAAGGCCCAGGCAGTGTCAGAAATCACTCAGGATGAACAAAAACAGACCTGGAGACAGGGAAGCATCAATCAGACTGTCAAACCTCACTGGGAAGGTAGGGGAGGGTGGGGGAAAAGGGGAAGAGATCAACTAAAGGACTTGTATGCATGCATATAAGTATAACCAGTGGTCACAAACAACAGGGGGCGGGCATACATGGGGAGGGGTTTGGGATGGGAATGGGGGGGGGGGGGGATGAGGACAATTATGTGATACCATAATCAATAAAGAAATTTTAAAAAAAGAAAAGAAATCACCCAGGTTCTCAGAGGAGGGGGCAGTCCTGAGTCAAGAAGCTCTCTGGGATTAGAGCAGCACAGCAAGGTGGGGTGGCTGACTCCCCAACTCCAGAGATGACTGAGGGGCCAGAGAAAGGGCCAGTCTAGAAGCATGTGGACCACCAAACTGTTCCCGGAACGTGGGAGAGCGATCTCATTCCATAGTGTCCCCTTCTTTCTGCCAATCCCAATCCCTGCCACATGCCCGTCCGTGGGATGGGAGATTACATTCCCTTTCAAATATTTCAGTCAATGCTTTTCAACCACTCTCAGATTCCCCTTCTGTGAATTAAATTATCCTTTTCTTCCTCAATTCTCAAACTTGAAGAAAATTATTTCTTAAATTATTCATTAATCCATTCAACAACGATTTTCCTGAGTACCCACACTCTGTATCCAGCATCATGTTAGGATCTGCAGGAGAAGCAAAGATGTAAATCTAACACCAACTTTAGTCCTTGCACGTACACACTTTAATTTCAATAAAGGCAAAAATCACACAGGAGGTCTGAGGTTTTCATCTTCTGTTGAAAAAAATGACTAAGAATTCAGGATCAGTGTACCTTTGCATATGATGTGGGGCAGAGGGCAGACCTGGGGGCTAGCTGTAGTGGTCAGCATGCCAGGTCTGCATTTAAGAAAAAGAAAAAGAAAAAAAAAGGCCTTAGAAAAATGGAGTCAGAATGTTAATGCAACAGCTTGAGGCACAAGCAGCTCTGAATGTCAAGTCAGGCATTCCAGCATCTTCAAACAGAGGGCTAAGTAAAGTATTAATTTGGCCTCCCAGCAAAGACTGACAACCTGTCAGTAGGTGAAAGGGCACACAGCTCTTACGAAAGTGCTAAGACAGTAAAATACATAGGCTAAATATAAAAAGGAAAAAGCTGACATTGGCAGCAACTTAAGCTAAGGACCCCTCTGGCAGGCGCTCATCAGTACCACCACTGCTACTCTCAACCCAGGGCAGGGTGAAGGCAGTAAAACAAGAGCAGATGACGAGAGTAAGTCAAGGGATACGGGTAAAATCCAGAGATGCCACGAGCTTCTTCTGACTTCCCCCTTCCAGAAGCAGCTAGAAGCAGAATTTGTAGGCACTCCTGGGTAGAGGATAGCTTCCCTCTGTGGCCTCTGCCTGCCACCAGACAGTCTCTGCTTGCACAACTCTCACTGGCTCCCGGGAAGATGACAGACTTGCTTGTGAGGCTAGGACTGAGGATCTGTGATGACAGAAAGTTGTGATTCTCCTGGAATTTTGGGCCACAAAGCACAATCAGCTACCTCCATCCGGTGTCTCTCTTGTCAACACCTCAGGACACTAGAATGTCGTGTCACTAACTGTGAGATCCCAGTGGGGGATCCCCTCTGAACTCTGCCTTCCTTCTAGGCTGTTTCAGACTTTGCATCTGCTGAGCCGAGCACCCCAGACTCACTGAGAGACATCCTTTCAGGAAGCCTTCCCTAATCCGCAAATCCCTGATCCTGCCGTCCTGAGGCCCATCAAGGAGGGCTCTCTCACTGCCCTGCTTGCTTGGTTGTGCTGAGACTCCAAGGGGTGAGTGCCAGTGTCTTAGGAAGATGCAAAGCACATCCACACGTACCCATTAACATCATGTTATACATTCAGTTCTAGTGCCAGGGGACAGTCAAAGCCACACAGAACAAAAGAAATCCAAGGTGCTGGGGAATGAGAGAGGTTTCTGGCCCACTTCTGTGAACTACAGCTCCATGCTGCTTTGCGGTAACATTTCTGGTCAACCAGTCGCTCTGAAGGGATCTTCAGACACACGTATCCTAACAGGCTGATAACCAACTATCAGTAAAAAGTGAACAATTCCTTAGAGGGCATGCTCAGACTGTCATTTTGGGGTGAGGGTGTGGGTGGGGAAGGAGTTACTGGAAGAGGGAGCAAAAAACAGTTTTATACACATGCTACCCCTAAACTTTAAAAGTTCAGGAAAGAAAAGAAGCATTTTTGTCTCTCTCCGGACAGATGCCAGGAGGCTGGCAGAAAAACCCCGTCCCAAGCCCCGGATCTGCTCCTCAACACTCTCAGAGAACCTCGTGCGGCCCGGGCCGCCGGGGCCTCCTTGGCTCCCTCCCCAGCCTGGCCATCGGGACAGACGGAGAGTTTGCCCATCAGTGAGAGGGCATCTCTGGCTGGAAGTCACCGCGCCCAAAGCGTTCCCAAGCCGCCTGGCCGGAGGATGGTTGGCATCGCCAGTACCTAAGTGCGATGGGGGAATGGGAGTGACAGCAGCACGCACTTTGCCCGGGTGAAGTGCGTGAGCTCCAAGGCTGCCAAGGACCTCCCCACACACACCCCGGCCCTCAGTGCCAGCGCGGGGCTGGGACCCACCTCGGTGACGATGGTGGACAGGTAGACGTCCCGGCTGAACTCCCAGCCGTCCAGGCAGCCCTCCTGCTGCAGCGTCTCCAGGTCCACGTCGCGCCCCGGCTCCAGCCCGAGCGCCGAGAAGTTGGCCAGGGCCTCGAGCCGGTAGCGCCGGCAGTTGTGCGGCACCGGGCGGCCGTCCTGCAGCCGGAGCGGGGCGCTGTGGTTGCGCCAGGCGCTGCTCAGGTTGGCGGAGTCGGGCACCCGGCAGCGGTGCTCGGGGGTCGCCGTGAGGAACACGGCGGACATGCCGTTGAAGCCGTTGGGGATGATGCTGGCGCTGAGCAGGAAGAAGATGAGGCGCTGGAAGGGGCCCCACTCGCCCAGGAAGGCGGTCACCTCGTCGTAGTCCCGCATGCCGCCCCTCGGCAGCCCGCAGCGCGCGGCGCGGGGTCGCGGGACGCGGAAGCGCGCGGGGGCGGGGCGCGGAGGGCGTGCGCGCGCGCGTGCGCCCTGGGACTCCGCGCCGCGCGACCGACCGAGGCACCGGCCTGGGGACGGGCCGCCGACCAAGCCGTGCGCGCGCGAGCTCCGGTCCCGGAGCGGCCCTGCCGCCGCCGCCGCCGCCGCCGCCGAAGGCCTGACTTAGAGGGCGCGGCCGAGGCGGGCTCCGGGGTTGGCCCGCCAGGCCCGCCAGGCCCTCCCCGCCGCCCCGCGGTGCGCGCCGACCGGGGCGGGGCTGAGGCCGCGCGTGACGGCAGGTGGGCGGGCCCGGCCGCCGCGCGCACCTGGGGCTCAGCCCGCGGGCTCGGCGCGGGGTCTGAGGGCGGCGGACGCCCGGCCGCTGGGTCCGAGCCCGGCTCGCGGGTCCCGCGCGGAGCCCGGGGAGGGGGCGCGGTGGCGAGCGGCGGCGGGGCTCCGCGGCTCCGCGTCGGGATTAAAGCTGCCGCCCCACCGCACAGCCTTTCCCTGGGACTGGCCCGGGGGCTGGCTGTGGTGAGCCGCCCCGGCACCACCAGCCGTATCAGAGCGACAGGGATTTTTTTTTTTTTTTTAAGCCGTTAATTACCCCCAAGGACAGGCTGGGAGCAATGACTTTGAATTCTATTTCCAGGGACCTTTCCGTGTTTGGTCTCTAACAAGCCCTTTTAGTTGTCCTTTAACGTGTGCGAACGAACGAAAGTAAAATTTTAACATTAATATTATTGATGATCCCAGGCTAGGATTAAATAGTCTTAGATTAATTGTCTCCGCACAGGCGTTGACTAGTAGCAATGAGAAGGAAAAAAAAAAAAAAAAGCAACTAGTGATTGTAAACTAGAGTCACTGCACAATACAGTAAGTGTGGTAGGCAGTTAGCCAGACATAAGCAGAGCAAGGAGAAGAGGCCAGGTACGGAAGATCACCGGCAATGAAAGCACTGATTCCCTGGCAAAGGACAATCGTAGAGTGATGCCTGCAGGATTGGGGAGCTGGGTGCCTGCAGGATTGGGGTCCCTGCAGGATGGCCCCAAATAGCCCAGGCTAGCAGGGACACCTCTGAATTGCCTTGGGACACATTTATCTCTTGTAGGTGGGGAACCAGTGCGCAGCGCCTGGAGGTACCCTTTTAGGATGCATATTTGCCAACTGGGAGAAATTTGACCCCGAGTCCCTCAAGGTTCTTTGACATAACCTAGCCTCACTATGAAATGGGCAATGGAAAGGTTTGGCCACTTAATGGCACATTAAGTTTAATACTAACTATCCTACAGTTAGACCTGTTTTGCTGTTCCTAAGGGAAGTGGATGGAGGATGTGTCTTTTCCATACAGCCACATCTTTATGGCTTTCAGAAATTGTTAGGGACAAAAATAGAATATCGGGGACTAGGTATGGTTAAGGGAGGTATTAATCATGCTCTCTTAACCATGACTGCCATGTGTTGGTTAAAGGACATTATATTTTTTATATTTCCTACAACTTTTGTGATATACTATGTTAGTACAGTTTGGGTAATATTGTATTTAAAATTTTTTCTTGAAATATTAATGTATTGCATGTAATGTTATTATATTTGAAATTGTTTTTCTTGAAATTAAAGAGAGAAGAAAAGACATTCTAACGTGACTGGGAGTTGTATTTATTCTAAGACATTCTAACTGGGAACTGGGGTCATCCTGGGACCTTGAAGTCAACCTTGGAATGTGGTCTATTCTCATTCAAGAACGCCTATTATTATCATGGAAAGATGAACAACCTTGTTGCCCAAACAATGGAGTCCCACCCCAGCCTGTAATCCCTTCCTCCCCATGTAATCTTTGTCCTACCCTATCTAAGCAGCTGGTTTATAGGCTGCAGAGCAGTTTTTTGTGGATGACCTGCTGCTCTCCCATTCTGCCTGCAGTATTGGAATAAAGGCTCATATATGATTCAACCCTGTCTCTGCTTAATTGGTTCAAGTAGTGACAGCCAGCATGGACCCATTGATTGTCTGGTTACAAAATGACCCTCAGCTATGTACCACTGGTAAACTACATTTCTCTGTAATTGCTACAGAACCGGAAAGAAAATATAACCAGATGGGGGGGAAATTACAAAAATGGGTGAAAGAATCAGTCCTTTGCTACAGAACCGGAAAGAAAATATAACCAGATGGGGGGGAAATTACAAAAATGGGTGAAAGAATTTGTCAGTCCTTTACCAACATTTGCCCGTCCTTCAAGTATTAAAAAGGACTGTTCTTGCTTTCCAAATTAAGTCTTTACAAGGTCAGAGGTGTGTCTCCAGAAATATTAATTCAAAGCCACCAAACTTATCTGAGCCATCTTTTAAAATGCAGGTTTCTAGGAGGTAATCCACATTAAAAGGAAAAAAATCTTAACTACCTGAGCAGATCAAATTAAATTATTTCAGCTGTTAAACATTGATTGCTGGACAAATCTTAAAGTCACTACTTTTAGGTTTTTGTTTTTTTTTTAATATATTTTATCGATTTTCTACAGAGAGGAAGAGAGAGGGATAGTTAGAAACATCGATGAGAGAGAATCCTCAATCAGCTGCCTCCTGCACACTCCCCACTGGGGATGTGCCCGCAACCAAGGTACATGCCCTTGACCGGAATCGAACCCGGGACCCTTCAGTCTGCAGGCCGACGCTCTATCCACTGAGCCAAATCGGCTTCGGCTACTTTTAGCTTTAAAAAATATATTTTTATTGATTTCAGAGTGGAAGGGAGAGGGAGAGGAAGAGATAAAAACATCAATGATAAGAATCATTGATTGGCTGCCTCCTGCACACCCCCTACTGGAAATTGAACCCACAACCCAGGCATGTGCCCTTCACCAGGAATTGAACCGTGAAACTCCTGGTTCATAGTTTGATGCTCAACCACCAAGCCACACCAATTGGGCAAGAGACATTTTTTAAGCAATTTGGCAAATTATATATTTTCTTCCTACTTGATCCCTCCAAAATTAGGCAATTCTTTTTTTATTTTTTATCTTATTTTATTGATTTTTCACAGAGAGGAAGGGAGAGGGATAAAGATTTAGAAACATTGATGAGAGAGAGTCATCCACCAGCTGCCTCCTGCACACCCCCCACCGGGGATGTACCCACAACAAATGTACATGCCTTTGACCGGAATTGAACCCGGGACCTTTAGTCCGCAGGCCGACTCTCTATCCACTGAGCCAAACCGGTTTCGGCAAAATTAGGCAATTCTTAATGAGTGAGCCATGGCAATAAGTTTCTTTGGGTGAATTCAGTAAGGCCAGTTTCCTATTGTGGTTTTATTAACCAAGACCTTGACTAGAATGTCATATTTGAAAGACACATGCCTGGACTCTGGATGTCACCAAAAAGCCTTGAGGAATGCAGATGGACTTTATAGCCAATAACATTGTCAACCACCCATTATTTTGACATTGTTTCTGTAAAATGCTGACTCTGAATAATATGTAGTTTGTAGATAAACAGCATAAGAATTCTAGGAACTAACTTCAGAAGATACAGATTCTGACCTTCAGTCATCCCAGCTCTAGGAGAATTGCTGACTTTCAACCGTAAAACCAGAATGACAAAGAACTAGGATGACCAAGACCAGGATGACCCACACTGGACCTTCACCTGACCAGTTTCAAGATCCATATCGGAATGGACTGTGCTGGACTGCAGGTAAGAGAACATTTCAACTCCCTCCCCTTGATTATGTTGTTCTGCTTTGCCTCTCCCTCCTTGTAAAAACCTCTGCCTACACTGAGATGTTGAGATGGGCTTTGTGACAAGAGTCCTCAATATCCTCTTTCCTTTTTTACCAACATCTGTCTAATAATGAGTTTGTTTATTTGTGGCGACAGGCAGCAGAACTTAAGTTCTGGTTACAGTTTTGCCAAGCCAGCCACGAGCGAGTGAGCAGGAGCCCCTTCCCCCACACCCAGTAAGCCCCTGGACTTTGGAGGAAGCTTCCCAGGCTGCCTGTGGCTGACTGACTCCCTGAGGGAACTTGGGAGTCCCTAGCAGCTGCCAAGTGTACTCAAGGACCTTCCCCCCCTCATTCTCCCCCCCATCTCATCCCTGTGTCCTCCACCCTCAAAGCTGGTCACCTGCTACATCCAGCTGGGGAAAGGGAAAGGGTTGTTGGTGGGCTGATGAGCCCAAACTGGGTAAAAGCCCTTAGTGTGCACAACCAGAAGTCCTAACCCACCTTTTGGGGCATCTTTGAACTATTTGGGATTCTGTAGGAATCAATAAGTGCCCCGTGGTGGTAGGCATGGCTTTGTGACTAAGAAAAGTGTGGGATTTGGTTGGAGCACTCTTTTAGTTTTGGTATTTGGATTTTTGACTATTGTTTGCTTCTCTTGTTGCCTATATCTGTGGGTTATCCTTTTTTTGTGACTTTTATTTTGTAACTAGAGGCCCAGTGTATGAAATCATGCACAGGTGGGGTTCCTCAGCCTGACCAGCAATTGGAGGCCCTCTCACCTAGTCCCAGTGGGGGCCAGCCAGCTTGGGGGGAGGGACCATGGGAGGTTGGTTGTGGGAATACACTGACCACCAGGGGGCAGCTTCTGCATTGAGCATCTGCCCCCTGGTGGTCAGTGCATGTCATAGGTACCAGCCAGTTATCTAGTCATTAAGGTTACTTAGGCTTTTATATAGGCTTTTGTTAATCTTCACCCAAGGATGTTTTTCCATTGATTGTTAGGAAGAGTGGAAGAGAGAGGGAAAGACAGAGAGAAACGTCGATTTGAGAGAAACACATCAATTGGTTGCCTCCTGCACAAGCCCTGACCAGGGCCCAGGCAGGGGAGGGGCCTGCAACCAAGGTACGCACCCCCATCCCCCACAACTGGAGTCAGACTCTGGACCCTTTAAAGGTCTACAGGCTGATGCTCTATTCACTGAGCCAAATAGACTAGGGCAAGGGAAGGTTAT